CGGACCCCCCCCACCCCCCCCAAAAAAACTTCTCTGTTCAAAGTTTTCTCACCGGATTCGGGGAGATCTCGGCGAGCGCAGTCCAACCATGTTTTCAAAAATAAAAAATAAAAAAAAATTGACCCACTTTTGGGCCGAACCGGAATTCCTGTTGGACGACCTGGGGTCCAACCGGCCGGTTGACGACACAGCCCTACTTCAAACTGATTTCCCTCATACCTCACTTCCCTATTGTTCTTCCGTCCCTTCTCCATCTCTTCTGCCGCTCAAGTTGCCTTCCACGTGAGTAGGTGTTGCATACTGTAACGGTGAAGACCAGAACAAGAACCGACCTCTCAATACAAAGTACAAGATAGCGTAGCGGAAGACTTAGATACCAATGATCCGAACAATCAATATTGCAATGCAGCCCTGAACATACATCATCATCATCGTTTCATGGTGTGAAAGGGGTCTGGCGCTTCACACAGGAAGACTGCGCCAGCCCCAACCATACACAGACGAAGAAGAAGGGGGTTAGACGAAGAGGAGGGGAAGATGGGAATGTCGTCAACACCAAGTCTTCGGCACAGGCCCAAATAGTCCCTCGTCAAAATGTCTGAATCCCAAATGTCCAGTCTGGATCCAATGTCATCAGGTCTCAAGTCACAACTCTCTCTCTCTCTGTCGTAGTCTGCTGATCCTGAGAAGTCAGGTGGTGAGAGGGTGAGAAGAGATGGTGGACTTAGAAGAGGAAGAAGAAGAACTCTCTCTCTCTCTCTCTCTGTGTCCAGTACTAACCTGTGAAGTTGGCGCCTTGATGCAGGTACCTCGAAGATGGAGCTGGAGCTATGGCGCCACAGGTAAGTACCGTTGGCCTCCGCCAGCCATCTCTCTCCAGCGCTACCACTACCAGCTACTAGCGCCCTGCGCTAAAGACTACTACTACAGCTATGAGCGCCCAGCGCTGAAGACTGCTGCTAGCGCTAACTACTACTGCCAACGCTCCTCCTGAGTGCTGCGGCTGAATCTTGAAGACTACTCGTCCTACTGTCCAACTACCTACCCGTGAAGTGCATGGGAACTTCCTATGTACTACTGGGGTGCCTCCTGACTGCAGGCGAGGCAGTCCAGGAGGCTGCTCTTGCCAATGCCGAAGGGAGGCAGGGGCTGCCGCTGCAGCTCCTGCTTCAGCTGTCGTGGGGAACAGGCCAGAAATAGACTGTTCCCGAAACCCTGTTTTTGTGCCTGAGTCTTAGGGTAGGTCGAACACAATGAGGGCCTGAAAATGGCCCTCCGTTTCAGGCCCTCGTTTTTCAGTTTCAGGCTGAAACGACCGGGGCCTGTAAGCCCTATTTTCTAGGCTTTTTAGGCTGAAAGTGCGGGACGGGCCCTGCAGGCCCGTGTGGCTACGCCGTATGCCACACCCCCCCTCCTTGAAAGACCGAGCTTACCTGCGAGGGCGAAGCTGTCTATCTGAGGGAGGGACCACAGTCCGGGTGGGAGGGGCTGGTCGTGAAGCTTCCTGAGCTAACCTTTGCTTCTCATAATGCGCGTAGATCAGCGGTGCGGATGCTTTCAAATCTGCTCCTGAAATCCACCGAGTGTCGTCGCGATCACATGCTTTGAATGTAACTTTGTACTGTCGCGGCTTGCTGCCGTACTTGCGATCGGTGATGACGTGGTCAACTTCCTGATGACCATCCATGGAAGGAGGGTCCTGCGATCGTATGCCCGGAAAGTCATCGCTCTTAGCTGGCGTGTATGTTGCCAGCTTTGAGGCGTGAAAGACTGGATGGACCGTCATATGCGGGGGGATGTTGATCACAAATGAAGGGCCATCGGGCTCATCGCTTGCGGCTGATGTTGCGGGCCATGGTCCAAACCACTTGGGAAGCAGTTTGCGTGAGACATCCTGTTCCAGTGCAAACTCTTCCGCGGAAACCCAAACCAGGTCGCCGACGCGGATGGGACATGGCACGCGATGCCTGTTGGCTTGCTGCTGCATGCGGACTTGAGCCTTTTGCATATTCGCTAGGGCTTGAGCCAGCAATTCCCTGTACTTCCGGACGGAAGCGGGAGAGCAAGCGGCATCGATGTCGGCTGGTCGTGGGAGGAGAAGGTCAGCGAAGATACCGCCTTTCCGTCCACCGTGGTGCAACTCGAATGGAGTCACGCCGATCGCCGGGTGCGCCGAAGTGTTGTAGGCGAACTCGATGTTGGGGAGGCGGTCAACCCAATCTTTCTGGTCCGGACGGATGAGCTTACGAAGCATCATTTGAGCGGTTTGATGTGCCTGCTCCGTTTGCCCGTCCGTCTGTGGATGCCGAGCCGAACTTGGTTTCATCTTCGTGCCGGACTCCTGCATGAGAGCAATCCAAAATGCCGACATGAAGCGAATGTCGCGGTCGCTGACTATGTCTTCTGGTATACCGTGGCCACAAATCCAACTGGTGTGCAAGAGGCGTGCCAGCTCGGGAGCCGTGGAGTAGTACTTGCAAGGGAGAAAACGCACGTACTTACTCAATCGGTCCACGACCGTGAGGATGTCGTCGTGTCTGAGGCTGTCGCGGGGGAATGGTCCGGTGACATCCATGGCAATGGAGAGACCGGGTTCCTGCGGGATCGGCATCGGGCGCAGCTCGCCGTAGGGGTTGCGGTTGCGGGGTTTGCTTCGTCGGCAAACTTCGCACGAGTCGCAATACCTCGTGACGTCGGTGACGAGGTCGGGCCATCGGAATCACTGTCGAAGCCGTGCAATAGTGCGGTTGATTCCGAAATGGCCGGCGAGTCGCGAATCATGATACTCGTCGAGGAGGCGAGTCCGAAGACGGCGGTCGCATGGGACACATAGTAAGTCCTTGCCCCGCGAGTGCAGGAGCAAGCACGCATCGGCGATGCGATAGTGGCTGGCCGGTGGGTGATCTGAAGATAGCTCCGCATATAGCGTGGCGAAGTCTGGATCGGACTCATAGCCCCTGATGAAGTGTCGCTGGTGCTCCATGTCGAATGCGAAGGCATGATGTGTCATAGCGCAAAGATCAGGTCTTCACGAGAGTGCATCTGCTGCGCGATTGGAGAGGCCGGGAAGATGTTTCGGTGTGAAGTCAAATTGGTCGATGAAGTACATCCATCGTCCGATCGTGCTGCTCACCGTATCCTGAGTCTTGTAGTAAGTCAGTGGGTTGTTGTCCGTAACCCATGTGAACCTACGACGCCCAAGGAGGAAGTTCCGCCATCGCTTGAGAGCCATCACGAATGCGAGCAGCTCCTTCTTCCTTGCATCATCAAGCGAGTTGATGGGAGGCACTTTGTGGTTGAAATACTCTACAGGGTGCCAGTTGTCGCCGTCGTGCTGTTCCAAGACTGCCCCAATGCCATAGCCGGAAGCGTCCGTAGTCACTCTCGTCGGCAGGATGGGGTCATAGATGCTAAGGACGGGTGCCATGAGCATGGCCGTCTTGAGTGCTTGGAATGACCGGCGTGCGTCGTCATCGAATACGAATGGCACCTTCAGCGATTGTAATCTCGTCATAGGTGCAGCAATCCTTGAGTATCCGGTGATGAATCGCTGATAGTAGCCCGCCAATCCCATGAATGAACGAACGTTCGTGGTGCTGTTGGGCTCGGGCCATACTCGTAGGGCCTCGATCTTGTCCGCAAGCGGACGGATGCCTTGCGGCGTCACATAATGTCCCAGGTACTCCAGCTCCTGCCTCGCGAATTCGCACTTGTCACGGTTGGCTTTGTACTTGGCTTGTCGTAGCCGCTCCAAAACGGTGCGCAGGTGTTCCACATGCTCGCCCAAACTCCGGTTGTACACCAGGATGTCGTTGAGGTAGATAAGTACGAATCGATCCAGCATGTGTCGGAACTCCGTTGTCATAGCCGCTTGGAAAGTGGCCGGGGCATTCGTAAGGCCAAATGGCATAACCAGCCATTCGAAATGCCCATATCGCGTCTTGAACGCGGTCTTGTAGCGGTCCTCCTTGCGAATCTCGAGTTGGTGATATCCCGACTTGAGGTCAAGTTTGGAGAAGAACTTGGCGCCGCCCAGTCGTTCGAGAAGGTCGTCGATGCGTGGGAGAGGGCCGGCGTTTTTTATCGTCTGCGCGTTGAGCTTGTGATAATCGATGCACAACCGCATATCCTTGTTCTTCTTCCGGACGAAGAGAACAGGAGCACCGTATGGCGATGAGCTAGGCCGAATCCAACCTTTCTCCAGAAGGTCGTCGAGTTGTGCCCGAAGCACACAACCGCGCGGAGGTACGGCCCCGTCCTCGAGGATGATCTCGTGGCGGATGGGCCGATCCGGTACTACTCCGTGCGGACCTTCGAACACGTCGCCGTAGGCGTCGAGAAGCTCGGTGATGCGTGGATCCGAAGATGAGTCCGTCGGTGAAGCGTCATGGGACGGGAGGGTGTGGAGAAAACACACCCCCATGTCCTCGATGTCGTCTCTGATGATGGAAGCTCGCATGCTTGCGGCGGATACCACGTGGCAGCTGATAGAAGGGTGAGGAGGAGCCACCGTGCATGGGACTAGTACTCCGTTCCGATCACGAACGTGAACTGTGCGGCGGTAGAAGTTCACCGGGTGGTCCTCGCTTCGCAGCCATGACATGCCCAAGATCATGTCGAATTTGGTGTCCAGAATGTCAAAGGACACCGCCTCACTTGCGTGAGGGGCAAAGTACACTGGGACGTCATCAATGCACCAGTCGATTGACTTATGCGTGTGACCGTCTGCCAACGTGAATTGCGTGGGCTGGGACTTCCTCCGGACGTGTGCGAACCATGAAGTCCTGACTCATGTAGTTGCGAGATGCTCCGCAACCGATCAAAGCACTGCAGGTTGCCTCTCCGATCTAAATGCGTACATATAACAATGGTGCGTCAATGTCGTCGTACCGTTGCGTCTTGAACTCGCGGTCGATCTTTGCAATATAGGCGTGAAGGTCGACAACCTCTACTCCGGCGTCCATCAACGGAGTCGGTACTGCAGTGTGCAAGTAATCCCGCAATTGTGCCTTGAGCAGGTTGCAATGCGATTTTGGCAATCGACCGGACCGGGGAAGGGGCATCCATTGGAAGTCCGCAAATGTCAACAGGTCGAGCTCTTCAAGTCTTGACCATGACGTTGAATCCCCGGCGGTAGATGGCGGCGAAGCTGCCGAATCGGTTGCCGATGGTGATGAAACCGTGCATGCGGTAGATTGTTGCACGTGGAGCGGTTGGTCCAGCGGTGGGACCAACTGGATAGCATAGTCCTCGTAAGCATACCGAGAACTTACGACATTCGCATCCTCCCCAAATGTGTAGGAGGCCGCTAGCAAGGCGGCCGAATCTGGCGGAGTGGGGGGCGGAGTCGCCTCACCTCCCGCGACACTCAGTTTCCCGAGTTAAGACGAGGCCGCACATCCTCCTTGGCCTGATCCTGGCAAAGCGAGGTCTTGTGCTTGGTGTTGTTGCACCATTAACAGCAGCCGTAACGGCCGCGATACTTGTACTCGGCCTCGGTCAAGTTGAACTTGACCCATGGTGGTGCTGGTTGTCCGTTTCCGGCCTGCGATGCTGATTTCGCCTTCCCATTACTTCGGGACTTGTTGCTGCTTCGCGGCTGGACAGCAGCCACCTGATCTCCCTCACGTGACGCTTGGGTGGCTGCCGGGTCTTCCATAGTGTTGTCCGATTGGACTGCAGCCAACTGCTGCTGCCGCGGACCAGTTCTCACCTTCTCCACATAGGTTGGCTGCCACGTTGACTTCTCGTGTGCAGCCGCCCTATTGGTCTTGATGATCTCCCTCGCCTTGTCAATGATTTCAGCGAAGGTTGCATGTTGCTCGCGATCACCAAGTGCGAGGTTCAATGCAGCACATGACCTGTTATAGTCATCGCTGCGCAGATGCGGAAATGGTAAGTCCAGATCGGGTGTTGCCGCGATCTTCTGCCATTCCGTGAGCCAGTCACGTGTTGCTGTGTTGCCTTGCATCATGGCGAAGAGACGGTTGATGGCGAGTGCAGGTGCGCAGTCCACGATGAACCGCTTCTTCCATAGGCGTGTTAACTCTTCCCATGAGATCTTGTCTTTCAGATCCGCGACGTCGACGCCGTGGGTGGATGCCAGGTGGCTTAACCAGATCTGACATCCGCCCTTTGGGTTAAGAAACAGGGCGCCGACGTACGCGTGCTTGGCGACTTGCAGAATCCGAAGTTGCGTCGTGAAACCTTCCCACCAGAGGACCGGGTCCTGATGCGTGTAGTCATCGAACTTCTCAATTTGAAAAGTTGGCATCTTGTAATGTTGTGTGCTGTTGCCATTCTTGTTAGGCAACTGCAGTTGCTGGACCTCGGTCTTCAAGGTATCCAGCTGATTGCTGATAGTGGTCGGCTCAGCGAAGGTGCTGATGTCGCCGAGCATTGCGACGACGTGGTCGACGCGTTCCTCCAGTTGGCAGTTAGAGGGTGCACTGCTGGACACACCAGCATCTGGTCCTGGTATAGCTTGCTCCAGGTCAAGTACACGGGAATTGAGTGCCCGTGTAGCATCCTCGTGGCTCTGCACTGTCCGGCGGAGGTTCGCCAACTCCTGGTGTTGTTTCTTCAGATCCTGGTACTGTTGCTGCAGTTCCTGGTTCTGTCTCTCTAACTCGGACTGTTGATAGTTGCAAGCGTATAACAACCGTGTCACGAGTTTGGAGAGGAACTCCTTGTGCTGCTCCTCCGGTGTCGCGTTGTCGCCATTGGACGGTTGAAAGTGCCAGAACTTGAGTCTTTCGATGCTGGCGGCTTCATGCCACTGCAGCAGACCCTGGGCTTCCTTGCGACGTACCTGGGTATCTGCGTCTGCTTCGGCCTGTAGCCGCTGCTTCTCAGCTGTTGCCGCTGCTTCAGCCTGTAGGCGGGCAGCCTCGGCTGCCAGCTGGCGCTGTTCCTCAGCCTCGATCAATGCGAGCTGAGTCTGGAACCGCTGTTTGTAGTCGGCAATAGACTCGTTGGCCAGTTGGCCTGGCATGCCCAGAGCTGCGCCCGTCATGGTGGCGGGGCACTGCTGACGTGGCACTGCTGATGTGGCACTGTTGTCGTGGCACTGCTGCTGACGTGGCACTGTGGCTAACGTGGCACTGCTGACATGGCACTGCTGACGTGGCACTGTGGCTAACGTGGCACTGCTGAGGTGGCACTGCTGATGTGGCACTGTGGCTGATGTGGCACAGCTAACGTGGCACTGTTGCTGGCGTGGCACTGTACCAACTTCGGAAATGCATGCAAAGGGGTGGGTGGGAGGGAAAACGTAAGTAGGCAACCAACCCAACAATACTTTCCTCCGTCCCTAATCAACAAATAAAAAATAAAAAAATAAAAGAGGACTACTTCCTTTTTTTTTTTTTTTTTGTATATCTGTCGATCTGTTATGAGTGAGACATGTCAGAAGAGTACTACGAACGAGATCTAGGCTAGTTTCCGCAAAGTTTCGGCTTTTACTAAATGGGATCTTGAAAAAAAAAATTTGCGAAATGGAGTAAAGATGCGATTTTCAGAAAAGAACGAAATCCCGTTTCTGAGAATATGGCAACCTCCGAATATGCCTAACGAAATGTTGGTAGGCTTCGCAAGATTTCGATTTTCAAAAAAATTTGCGAGATAGAATGGAAGTTCGATTTTCAGAAAAGAATAATTCCGGTTTCCGAGAATATGACCAC